TCACGCAGATCGGCGGGGTCAGGGTCTAAAAATACGATGGACTTGCCACATTTCTAAAATTTCCTGGCACCCCTCATGCAGATCGGCGGGGTCAGGGTCTAAAAACACAAGGGATGCGCAACTTGTTCTGAAATTCGGTGGCACCCCTCACACAGATCGGCGGGGTCAGGGTCCAACAACTCAAAAGATTCGCCACATTTCTAAAATTCGGTGACACCCCTCATGCAAACTGGCGGGGTCATGGTCAAAAAACAAAAAGGATGTGCCACATTTCTGAAATCCGGTGGCACCTCACACAAATCGGCGGGGTCAAGGTCTTGCGGGGTCAGGGTCCAAAAGCAAACGGGATGTGCAACTTTTCTGAAATCTGGCTGCATCCCTCACGCAGATCGGCGGGGTCAGGGTCCAAAAGAACAGGGGATTTGCCACATTTTTGAAATTCGGTGGCACCCCTCACGCAGATCCGCAGGGTCAGGGTCAAACAAAAACAAGGGATTTGCCACATTTCTGAAATCCCGCGGCACCCCTCACGCAGATCGGCAAGGTCAGGGGTGAAAGACAAACAGGTCCCGAAAATGCTTCACGGCGAAGCCAAAGCCTCATGACTTCGCTCTTCCATGGCCCACTCTCCGAGGGGGCCGCTGGCAGCGGGCGAAGCCCGTACGGATAAACAAATACGTAGTAGCCTTAGTAATGGCAGCAGTAGTGGTAGTAGTAATCTTCGCGGAAGTAATGGGGGTGGTACTGATAATTGATAGCAGCATCAGCAGTAGCTACCGTAGTCGTATCATTGGCAGTAGTAATACGAGTGGTAGAGAAAGGAACAGTAATATAGATATGAACAATGCTAGCATCAATATTAACCGTGGTCGTAAACGTAGTAGCCGTAGAAGTAGTAGCATAAATGATTAAAAAGAAGTGCTAGTTAATAGTACGAATAGTAGTAGTAGTAGAAGTAGTAGTAGTAGTAGTAGTAGTAGTAGTCGTAGTAGTAGTAGTAGTAGTAGTAGTAGTAGTAGTAGTAGTAGTAGTAAGTGTAAGTGTACTAGTAGAGTGGTGGCAATAATACAAGTACAATCCGCATCCCACCGCTGATAGCAATGGTCGCAGTAGCAATAGTAGTCGTAATTGAACTGGGGAAAGTTGCGGTCGCAGTGGTAGAATAGTCGTAATCGTAGTCGTCGTAGTAGTAGTCGAAATCATGGAAGAAAAAAGAATCGTCGTAGCATGAATAGCAATGGTCCTCGTAATATGAATTAGAGTGGTAGCAGTAGTCGTAGTCGAAATAATACTCGTGCTAGTAGTTGTGGTAGTGGTAGTGGAACTGGTAGTGGTAGTGGTAGTGGTAGTGGTAGTAGTAGTAGTAGTAGTAGTAGTAGTAGTAGTCGTAGTAGTAGTAGTAGTAGTAGTAGTAGTAGTCGTAGGAGTAGTCGTAGTAGTAGTAGTAGTAGTAGTAGTAGTAGTATGAGTAGTTGTAGTGGTGCTAGTAGTAACCGTCGTACTACTGATCGTAATAGTAAAAATCGTGGTAGTAGTGGTTGTCGTAGCAGCTGTCGGTGTAGGAGTAGTAGTGATGGTGTTACTGGTAGTGGTAGTGGTAATCGTAGTACGAGTCGTCGTAGTGATAGCAGGCGGAAAAGCAGTAGTGGTAAAAGTATTAGTTGTAGTAATAGTAGTAGTAGTAGTAATAGAAGTAGTAGTAGTAGTAGTAGTAGTAGTAGTAGTAGTAGTCGTATCGTAAGAGCGACACAAGAAAAAGGAAACAGTCGTAGAAGTAGTTGCAGTAGTAGTCGTAGTCGTGGTCTGAATGAAAGGGTACTCCGAGTACACTTGTAGTCGTAGTGGTAGTAGGTGTAGTAGCAGCAATTGTCGTAGTAACCGAAGTAGTCCGGATGATAGTCGTAGTCGTAGTAGTAGTAGTAGTAGTAGTAGTAGTAGTAGTAGTAGTAGTAGTAGTAGTAGTAGTGGTAGTAGCCGGAATGACAATACATTCCGCCGTGACAGTAGGAGTACTAGTAGCAGTAATGTTAGTAGTAATAGTTGTAGTAGTAGTTGTACTACCAACAGTAACCAGAGTAGGAGGTAGTACTAGTAACAGTTCTAGTGCTAGTAGTAGTAGTAGTAGTAGTAGTAGTCGTAGTAGTAGTAGTAGTGGTAGTAGTAGTAGTAGTAGTAGTAGTGGTAGTAGTAGTAGTAGTAGTAGTAGTAGTCGTAGTCGTAGTCGTAGTCGTAGTAACAATAGTGATGGCGAGAATAGTAGTAGTAGTAGTAGTAGTAGTAGTAGCCGTATTAGTAGTAGGTGCTAGTAGTAGTAGTAGTAGCAGCAGTAGTAGTAGTAGTAGTAGTAATGGTAGTAGTAGTAGTAGTAGTAGTAGTAGTAGTAGTAGTAGTAGTAGTAGTAGTAGTTAGTAGTAGTAGTAGTAGTAGTAGTAGTAGTAGTAGTAGTAGTAGTAGTAGTAGTAGTAGTAGTAGTAGTAGTAGTAGTAGTAGTGGTAGTCGT